CTTTTTTTTTTTCTCTTTAATTAATTTTCATGCTAGCTTCTACATGTCTAGCTTTGATGAATCAATAAGTGCTGTTACGCCTTTTACCTGAAGAGAGAAACAATTATCTAAAATATACTATTTGTCGAAAGGAGAAAGGAAAGATCAATTTGACTTTAACATACGTCCATAGCAACTAGCATGTGAGTTCATGATAGTAGAAAATCCATTTTTGAGGCGTCAACTTATTAGGATATTTTTATTGAGCACAGAGGTTGTTTTGATGTATGCGAAGATGATATTGGTGCCGGTAGCCCAAGTTCAAGAGATTCAAACCAGTCAGATTCTGAATTGCAAACCCAACAGCAGCAGTTGGTTAGTGTTGTGGATCGACAATCTGGACGAAACGATACTTCACACTCTGCTCTAAGCGGATCTTTGTCATACTCTCTTGTTCCGGGGCGGAAGATATTTTCCAGTGGCTCACTGGTGCAGGATAATACTCTTGCTGCCAAAAGGGTTATTGGAGATGGAGATAGGTATATCCTCTCCTCCTTCGGTTTAGAGTGTACGATTCTGAAAAGGCAACATAAATTATTGTGCTAATAGTTAATATTTGCCTTTGAGTCAAATTCTGTTTTTTCTCTGTTTTTTTTTTTTTAAATGCCAATTGCCCTTTTGTCCTTTTTATTTCTAGTGCTTGCTTCTGCTTTTTATGCTATTCCTGTGAATTCATTTTGTACAATCATATTCTCTTTAATCTATGAGAAGGGAATATCTGCAACCAAGATATCAGGCCGAGCGAAATTATAGTGGGCCCCTGCAAAATCGCCAAAAGAAAGACTTCAACCCAACAGCTGGTAATGCGTTTTGTAAGAATCACAAAATTTTGTTCTTATTTAAACAGACCGGGCTTTAATGTTTTTTATTTTTTTATTCATCTCATATAATCATGTCCTGATGATACTTAATCGTGCATTTAGGAGAAGATGTTTCGGAAGGTGCTGTCGTGGAACGCCGAGGACGTTTTAAGGTCACTTCGGCAGATCTGGGTCCCAAGGTATCATCTATTAACTCGATCTTATAAGTCATGACTTATGTATTACAATTTACAAGCACCCTGATATTATTTATTACCTTAATTCTATATTATTATTATTTTTGTTGTTGTTATTAAGCCAAAATAGAAGTAAACCTAGCACACAAAAAATTCAGACTAGCAAAATCTTTTCGGATTGTTCTTAATGTCTTATGCAAAAGAGTATTCGGGTTGAACTTTGCTCTGTTTTTTCAGGCAATGGCATTTAACCATTGCCTTTTATCTTACCACAGGGTTTTGTAAACAACTTTAACTCAAATTCTGGTGGGCCGATAAACCCGATACCACCTGGCATTTCAGCTGCTTCAGTTCTGCCTTCAGTGCAATGCTTATTACAACAGAACACCATGCAAAGAGTAAAAACTATGCTCAACTTGTTTACACTTAATCTTACTTTCAATTGGTCTTGGCTTGTTGCTGATGTTTGCTCTCGTATCATCACTTCAGGATGAGCTGGTTAAACTGATTAAGTTTGTGGAACAAACCTCAGGTAAGTCTTGCTCTTTTGGGGTATATTACAAAAACCACCGTGAAGTTTATCTTTAATTACCATTATTGCCCAAGAAACTCCTGTTATCTTTTGAAATTGAAATAACCCATTTGGGATATGTGTTTGTTACAAGTTACGCCTTCGTGAGGATGCACTATGTATAGAAACAAATGTTAAATGGGTATTAGAATTTATTTTTTTAAATGTAACAGGGTTTTAATTATTTTATGTAACTAAATTGATTGGAATATTATTTTCATTTTTTAAAGCTAAGCTGGTAGCCATTTGAGACTTTTTACCTCGACTTGTTTGACGTGCTAATATACCCTGTACAGGCAATGATACTGAGTCGGCAGAGGCTGGAGCAAACGACCTTTTGCAGGTAAAGTTGTTTGTGCTGAAAACCAACATGCTTCTGTACACTTGAAATTACATGTTTTCTTTCTGGGTTAAATTTTGAGAAAAAATCTACTATACTTCTCTAATTAAATTTGCTGTCAAATGGGAATTTTAACTGTGAGATTGATCTTCTTCTTCCAACTTGGTAGCAGATAAACCCAAGTTCTTCTACAAAGGAACGAGAGTTGCAGACTCAGTTGATTCATATGCAACAAAGGTAATGAAGCACCAAATCCTTAAGTACATTTAATGTCCAAAGACTCCAAGCACATACTAAATGAGAGTGTTTTTGAATATCAGAATTGGAAGTTTAGTCGAAGAAATACAGAGACTTAAGGCTAAGAATGCTCAGGTTTGTCATTAATGATGCTCTGATGAGCTCTGTTTTTAGTTTCGGTGATGGACGAATTATTCTAAATATCTCCCCATCCATTTTTTTTAATCCAACACAAACTTTAGCTCACCTCTTTTTTTTCGGGCAACTTATTTTTGTTTTATACTTATTGCAGTTGGAGAGAAAATTGAACGTAACGCTGAAGAAAGACGATGTGATACCAGAATAATCAGTTTCATATGACATATGGGAAGGGGAGCAAATTCAATGAATGATGAACTTCTCACACCTCAATTTACTTTTTCCTATTTTTTTCTTGAATTTTTTTGTTTTTTGTTTTTCCTTACATTGATACAAGCTGTTGGGTTGTTTAGTTTGTCCTGTGCTTATTTTTGCCTGTAAACCCGTGTTGGTGGGGTTATATAATACTTGTGGAATGTAAAGCCAGCACTAACTAGTGTACATAACTAGTTGTATTTTAATTACATTTCATAATTGTGAATTTTTTTTTTTTTTTTAATTTGCCAATTGGCTTTGTTTGAGTGTCCGATTGTACAATATCAATTATATCTAAAAAAATTTCATTTACATCACCAGATAATTTTTATTATGAAATTTAGGTAGAATGCAAATTTCATAAAAGTACAATATAAACTTTATCTCACACTTCATGGTTATGTTTTATGAACCTAGCTAATAGGTTAGGTTATAACATTTAAGCAAATTTCGAGCTTATATCTGATAGTTTATGACTTATGACTAAAAAGCTAATTCATATGATAAAATCGTGGTAAAATTAGTTGATACATTCGTTGAAATAAAAAATTCAATAAATTTATTTGAAAAGCTACTCAAAGAAGCTAGAAGCTTACAGATAAGCTGGAGTTTTGTAAAAAAGTTTGTCATTCTAAGACAAAGCTTGTTTGAATACAAATAATTTATAAACTAATCAAATAAGTTATAAACTAGTTTATATTCTTGTCAAGCACAACCTATCTTTAATTTTATCAACACGATTTAAAGAATAAAAATGAATCATGTAAATAATCCATCTTTTTCAATCTATCTGGGCACAGATTTTTCGAAAATTTCATATCCTTTTGCACCCTTAATGATGATGGCTCTGTCAACCGCGCTGTAGAAAATTTGTAAACGAAGCCTAAAATATCTGCTGACTCAAGTACACATGATAACTAGAGTTAAATTCACTAAAAATGTCTGGCTTAGAAGTTTTTGCTTTGAATGTTGCTGCTGTGTTAACTGATTTCAGCAAGTTTCTCAATTACAGCAGATACAATGCCCTTCAGCATTCCCTGTGTAGGAAGGTAAAAATAAGCAAAAATCAAAATGAATCAGAGATTAAATAGTGTACTCATTTGCCTTGGCTGAAATTTGAAATACAAGATTACACAGCATAGTGAAATACCATAGAATGGTCTCTCAGACCAAGAGATAATACCAATGCTTTTCCCGATCTCTTGCTGCAGGCATAATATAAACCATATAAAAGATTACGGTTCGACCAGTTGAAAAATTAACTACCATTAATTACACATTAAAATTGTACATGAAAATACCTTATGTGTTCAACCAATTGCCTTGCACAAGCAACAAGCATTGGCTGCAAATACTCACCCATGTTATACATCAAGTCCTGCATAGATAGGCAACTAACCGGGATACAAAAAATTACCTCATCTCGTTTGCCGAACACTACATTCACCGTGAATGTTGGATCAACTGAAACACTTTCCTCTTTCCTAAGAACATCAACAAAATAAGAGCAATCCAAATAACAACAAAAAACAGAGCTTTAGTGCCTCTAATTCCTCAGGAGGGACCGAACCAATTAACAACTCACATAGACTAATGTGGCCTGAGGGAGGAAGAAAACTCTAGATTTTGCTAAAAATGCTAGACTTGCAGTTAACATTAACTCGAGTAAATGTATGATGTACCTATTTAACTAAAAGCATCCCAAAATCCACCAAAACCTCGCAGATTATCAAGACTTGCAAGGGCCATTAGAGAAGAGAAAAAGAAAATCATCTCAAATTCGCTGTCATGCACTACTCCAACATAAATGTTTAACTACTTTAACACCTGGCTTCAATCCAAATGTTCGTACTTACCTATTGAACATGACTCAATGCAAAATTATATGCTCGAAAGTTAAATAAATACCAACTAAACCCATCCTATTGCCATTTGAAATCTGTAACTGGTCAAAAAAAACTCCAGTTCTCGCCTTATCCCCAATAAATCTCTAGCATTACATGATAAATCTGCGGTGACACTTTAATCAAACACCTCTCGAACTTGCAGAAAATTAGAAATCAAACACATAACCATGAGGAAATAACAGTGTGCGCATATACCTAGCGTGCAATATTGTCCCCATGCTTCCAATCTGAGTTGCCATAACCTGGAAATAGGCGAACAATATCGATTGGGGATACCAAATGAAATTTGAAAATCAACAAAAAAATAAAATAATATACAAATGAATTCTTACAAGAAAATGATCTTCATAGCTGCTTATGATAATATTCGTCTTGTGCCCCTGCGATTAACCAACCAAACACACACACACACACACACACACACACACACACACACACCAGCGAGTCAAACATGTTCGTGCTGACTAATGTTTCGACCTAAAATTAGCTCGAAAAAAGGAATTCACGAAAAATGGCGGGCGAAAATTTCGGCCGCGAAACTGGAATTAACCATGAATAGCATATAATTACTACAAATTACATTAAAATCGGCGAAAATCAGATGAACGGAAAATCTCACCTTGATATCCAAGCAGTGAGTTGTGTGGCGTATCGGAAAAGCAGCATCCGGTGCTTCCATCCCTTTCTACTTCGAGACTGTAGGTTTTCACCTATGCACATTTTTATAGTATCATGTAAACAATTATACAATAATGCTAAGGAGCCAACTGTTGGCTCCGTTACGGAGTCAACAGCTAATGGGACAGCTCCATGTGGGACTGTCCCACATGGCTCCAATATGGGACAGTCCTACATGGAGCTGTCTCATTAGTTGTTGGCTCCGTAGCACTTTTCTCCGTAGTATTACTCAACAATTATATAGTTAAAAAAAACCACTACTGAAAATTACAGTTTTGCTATAAAGCCAACAGTTGACTGAACCAATCTTCTATATCCAACAAGTAGATTTCCCATTATTTTCTGATTACTTAAATAACATTAATATAATTTTATTAATATTGTAGGTTTATTTGTTGTATATAAAATGTTGGCTCCACTATGAATCCAACTGTTGGCTTCATAGCAAAACCGCTAAAAATTATACTAAAATGATACTCTGTTTTTTTGTTACTAGTATTCGACAATGTTGATTTCATATATGTAAATAAATAAATATTATAAGACATATAATATTAAAATTATCAATTGGATAGTTATATTATAGTTTAAATACAATATTATAAGTTATATTTTGTGTATAATATTAATATTATGAGTTAGATAATAGTATTATATTTTAAATTTTGATCATTAGTTAAAATAAATAGTGCATAATGATTTGATTGATACGAATCACTATATTGATAGCATAAAATGTAATAAATAATGATTTTAATTTTAATAGATCATGACCAATTAATTAACTGAAAAATATTAAATTTACTATAGCAATTTCTTATGCGATTTAAGAAGATTTTACTGACATTAAAAAAATTAATTTACTTACAAATAACTGCTTAATCAGATAAAAAATATAATATCGATTTCAGAATAAATAACTTGAACAAAATATTTTTTGCAATATAATCTTTTATGTTTATGTAACTTTCATATATCATTTAGTGTAAAAAATATAATTACTAATTTTAATAAAAATTATTATATTATTAAAAACATAATATTATTCAATTAATATAAATTGTAACAGTTTTTGTCTTATTTAACAAAAAAAAAAAAAATCTAATGAAATATTTTATCATTAATGGGATATGGTTGCTAGATTAATGTCATAAATGTAAAAATCTAATACGTGTATCCATGTTTATTTTATTTATAATAATTAAAAACAATTTCATATGAAATGAGTGTATCGACTGAAACTACAAGATCGTTATTTAACATTTAAGATCGAGCTCCCTGAATAAAATATATAGATCTGCCACTGGTTGATATTGCCTCATCGCCAAATATGACTAGCCGCCAGTAAGTTGGAGTTTTTAAGTCTGATGCTTAGTTTTATATATCTCTTTTGTTTTTAATTGTGGCTTTTGGATTGTTGCATGATTTGGTTCGTGTGCTAGACAAAGTGGTTGTTGCGGTGCTCGCAATAGCTGGGGAGGTAGTATTATATATTTAGTATATGTGTGTGTTGTTAGTTTTAGTGCAGGTGTGGTTATTTTCTCCTTGTGGGAATTCTAGTCTCAAGTTGTTGGAGTTTTTAGTTTTTGTTTTGATTGGACTTTAAACATGTTGGTTTTAGATGTTGCCACTCCGAGTGCTTGAATCCTATTCCAGTTGTTCTGTTTTTAGTCTAAGGTGCTTAGGTTAGCACTCCTCGTTAGTCTACCTTCTTGATGAATTGTAAGGCTAATTAGGGTGTTTTTGTAAAATAATTTACTCAAACCAAATTAATTAATATTCAAAATTTAATTCAACTTTAGTTTAACTTCACTATTTTCAATATTATCAATATAATTAAATAATAACAATTAATCATTAAATAATAACAACCAATAATTTTTACTCATTATATCAATTTTAATTAACTATTCATCCACTCACATTATTTTACTAATCATCAATTCATATCATGTCTCTCATATTTTTATATCAAATCAAATTTTAATTATTTTATTTTAAATATTATTTTAACATTCTCTCAAAATCTCACTAACAGTTAACTATACTACTTTTTTTAAATTAGCCATAGTTAACTAAAAAAACTCATTTTGACTTAATTTGATTGAATTTATCTTTTTACAAATACATATTTAGTCTTCGAGTTTCATTTTGAAAATTTCCTTTTAAAATATAAAATCTATTGTTTCGTAAAAAAAAAAATGAATAAATTTAAAATAATAAAAAAACACAAGATGTTGATAATATGCATTAAAATATTAATGTCATACTCTCAATGTCCCTTTTTTTTACAAAAAAAAAAGAGGCGAAAACTTTAGGCGATAATGTTACGAGGGTAAGAAACCCATATGATATCATGGTATAACCACGATTTAACCCCATAAATACACTAATATTAAATGTAGGTGATTCATTTTTTCAAGATTCTTGGTATGTAATTTCACACACCTCAGCTTATTTAATTGTTCATTAAATCGCAATAAAAATAATTAGTTCTCAGCTACGAGCTACTAACGAAATCACACGCGGCACCCGCCGTTCAACGTATCGAGGGCAGTCTAGTAATTTGTTGCTTTCATAGCCACTGAATATTCGAGCCACCGTAATCTGGCTAGCGGAGCCTCCTGACGTTTGAAAGTATGGCTTCTAGAGCGTGTAGTTATTAGGTCACAAAGGAAATTAAAGAGTTCTATTTGCATGCTAAACATATGACAATTTTTTTGTGACGTGTGAGAAAATCTAAAGAGGTGAATCGATATGTCATATATTTTTAATTAAAAACATATATATATATATATATATTATGAACTATTATATTTTTGTTTATAACTTTTATATTTTTGTTTATAACTTCTAATTGTTATGTAGGTTGATCTATATGTTATAAAACTTTTTAATAAATATAAATATTTATATTATAAAATATTATATGACATTTTAATTTAATCTTATGCGTATTTACACATATGTTAGGAGAATATGATTGTTTGTTAAACTTAAAAAAAAAAAAAGAATAATGCTACAAGTACATAATAGACTAATAGTGTACATAAGGGTGTACATAATACATCACACTGAGTGGGACCCACCAAAGATTAAAAATCAAGTGGACCCCACACCATGTGAGAGTTATGTACACCTCTATGTACATTTATTATGTACATGTAGCATTTTCCAAAAAAAAAATATAGGGGATGCTTGTATATAATTTTTTTTTATTAGAATTTTTGGTTTGGTTATTATTATTTTTTTTTTTTTTAAAAAGTGGTATGATTAGTTTTAGTGGAAATTTGAGTTTATATTATAATAATATTTAAATTAAAATAATTGAAATTGATTTGACGTAAAAATAAAAGAGATATGATGTGAAGTGATAATTGGTTAAAATTATGTGAGTTAATTAATAATGAACTAAAATTGATGTAAGGTGTAAGAATGATTGAGTGATATTATTTAATCATATTAGTAGGATTTATGATAATGAAGTTCAGCTAAAATTGAGTTAAATTTGATTTAAAATGAACGATAGATTAAAATTAATTTGAATTTTTTTCGATAAATTTATTTCATATTGATGGTATTCAAGATAGTGAAACTAAGTTAAGTTTTGGTTATAAATTTGTTTACACTTGACATCATCCTATTGGTTTCATTCAATTTGATCTCTCTCTCTCTCTCTTTTCTTTTCGAGGAAAAAGAGTAGTAGAAATAATAAAGATTTTAATAACATGAATGAAATGATATAAAAAGCAAAACTTCAGTGATATAAAAATAGTAAAAAAATAAAAATAATTGTAAATATATAAATAGATGATTAGTATTAATTAATTTTTCTCATTGAAAATTATATTGGTAAAATAAGAAAATAGGAAAGTAATTTTTAATTGATGGACAATATACAACAACAACAACAACATAGTTTTTTAGTTCCAAACAAGTTGGAGTAAGCTATAGATGAAACCCAAGAGAACCAATGGTAAGAGAAACACAAAAGAGGCTCAAAAACAAAAGGAAAGAGATTGGAGCAAAAGAGAAGGAGTAAAAGTCACGGTTCTGGCACGTTGATTGCTAGCCTCCAAACGCTCCTATCCACCGCTAAATCCTCGGAGATATTCCAATCGTGAAGGTCTCTCTTAACCGACTCTTCCCAAGTGAGTTTAGGTCGACCTCTACCTCTCTTTACATTATCGACACGCTGTAGAATTCCCCTATGCACCAGTGCATCGGGAGGCCTCCATTTTACATGTCCGAACCACCTCAACCGATGTTGAACCAATTTTTCCTCAATTGGAGCCACTCCGACCCTATCTCGAATATCCTCATTCCGTATTCTATCTTTTCTTGTGTGCTTGCAAAACCAACGCAACATACGCATCTCTGCTACACTTAGTTGTTGGACATATTACATTTTTGTAGGTCAACATTTAATACCGTATAAAATCACCGGACGTATCGCTGTCTTATTGAACTTACTTTTTCGCCTTTGCGGATAATATAAATTATAAAATTGTAACTTCCAAGGGCACCCACCCACCTTCCCGTGATTTTCAAACAAAATTTATTTAATTCCTTTAAGACATTTGAAATTTAGGCAAGTCTAAAGTTCATCCTTGAGATTCGAAATTATTTGACTGAATGCATACTTTAACTTTTTTCAACAACTAATTAGCAACGTGTAATACTAATTAGCAATATATTCTTTTTAAATGCATTTTCTCATTCTAATTTATAGGCAACTATAATTATAGTTAATATAGTTACGGGAGTTGTTACGGTCCCGTTATGATATTATTATGTTGGGATTTATAACCGTTGGATCAACTATTTCGATGATTACATGATAATTTAACGGTTATAAATTCCGATAGAATGGTTCTGTAATACCGAGTTAGTATAATATCCCACCCTCTAGGCTCTAGCCGAGCCAAGAGCCGAGCCATTCGTGCCCACAGATATAAGCCCACAGATATAAGGCGAAAAAAGCTGAGGTAAATAGCTCATGAGCCCCTCATATATTGAGTATTGACACTCATTTCCACAGCTCCATTAACTTGTTCACTCGAAGCTCCTCTAAATCCCCTCAATTAAAAGGCAATTTGTGTTAATAAAAGTACGATCAAGCTAAAATCTGGTCGCTGCTGGTGGAGCCGGCGAGCTACAATGGGTATAGTGATATCAGAGGAGACCAAAAGGGCGGAGCTCGAGGAATTCCGGCGGATGCTGCTGTCCTGCGCGGCGGTGCACCGGCGGAAGGACGACGAAGGGTTTGGGGCCCGCGAGGAGGTGCTGCCGGTTCAAAACGGCGACGTATTGGACAGAATGGTCTGCGTCACGAGCGGCGTATCCTACCTCGGAATTGCTATCGTGAACCAGCTACTGGTCAACGGCTACTCTGTGCGGATTATTGTTGACAATGAAGGTAAACAGTAAAGAAATTTGAAGCATAAAACTGTGTCACACTGATTTGATTTTATAATCTAGTTGAGATTTTCAAACATTTTTAAAATAGTTTGATTTGTTAGATTAGTAGTTTCCTTTTGATGTGTGGGTTTTTTTGGAGCATGACAAATCATATATGTTCTTCTATAGCTTTGTCATTTTTTTTTTTTTTTACTTCATTTATTCTGTTATTCATCGTCATGATCATTGTTATTGAGCTCAAGTTGTTGAGTTGAATCATCATATATATATTTTTTTTTCATGCACCTTTATTTTATATGTATAATTTATAATGTTCATCAAATTAGCTATCTATCCGTTTTACAGCGTGGTATTCCAAGTGTATTATGATATTCTTACATATCAAACTGTTAATGAGAATGAATATATTGTACTCCCTCTTTTTTTTTTTTTTAAATGTCATTTTGGCTTTATCAACTATTAACCAAATAAATGTCGTTTCGCATCTTTTGCACATATTTTTTCTCTTATTACCATCATTTATAAATACATCGTGCCTTTTCATATTCACTCTTCATTTTTCTCAAAATATTCATTTCTATCTTTATTAAATAAAGTTATTATGACAAAAAAATATTTTTAAGTAATATGCAACTTTTCAAAACGACATGTATTAAAAATAGGAGGTAGTATTTGCTTTCTAAAGTAAACTGGGATAATGAATGCGCTAGGATTCAGATTTTAAAGCTTAGGGTTCATAAAGTCCACAGTCCTATGCTAGTATAACTTTAAGTATTGTTTGGTAACTAAGCAAGAGCTTAAATATATATACACACATATATACATATATATATTAAATTGCATGTAAAATAACAAGTTACAACTGTTTTGTCAAATTTTTTGAATTATTTTTATCAAATACATGGAAATACTATAAGCAAATTTAACTATTTATCTCATATTTATAAATAGGTTTAGTCGATGCCACCCGTGTGGGCGACACCCTCAACCGTAGGATGAATGCCTCATACCCCTTTGCTTGTAAAAATATGTTTTTTCACCCTTTTTTTTTTGTTTGTTTTACAATTATTGTTTTCCATTTATATATATTCTTTTTGTTTCCATTACAATAAAAATGATTCCCCATTGTCCTCCAATATTTATTTTTATTTTTAAAATCAAACTACTTCGGCATAACAGTTTGACACAAAGGATGACAAAAATGATGTGTATGTTTATTGGTTGTTGATTTTAAGAGTGATATGATAAAGTGACAAGATAGTTTGACACAAAGGATGGCAAAAATGATGTGTATGTTTAGTGGTTGTTGATTTTAAAAGTGATGTGATATATAGAGTAACAAGATCACGACACGTGTTAGCACGATTCAACTTGTTTTACCACTTTTGACCTATGAAATGGTACTTCTAAAAAATTTTCATAGTAATAACTAATAATTTTGGTTTACAACTTTCCCAATAATCATAGTGAATTGTTAATTGTGTTTCTGATGCAGAGCAATATTGAATATCTGACTGCATTAGTTTGTATTAGTTCACGTGTCAGGATCAAGAATCCCCTCACATGATTTAGCCAATCTTCACTCTCTCCAGATGCTATTTGAATTGACTTTTCTTTTCTTGTCTATTCCAGAGGGCAATTATTCAACTGTCTTCTGTTCTTAGTCAAACAAAAAAGAAAATAACAAAAAAAAAAAAGAATATTCTAATGGTGATTTGGTTTACTTACCTATTCACCAACTTTTCAATTTTCATGGTCTTCCACTTCTGCTGAGTCCTCCTTGAATTCCCCCTATTGGGCTAATTAGCTGATGGTAATCATTTGAAAATGCAGAGGATGTGGAAAAGTTGAGGGAAATGGAGATTTCAGGGGAGATGAGAATTAACAGCAGCATGCTCGAGGTGGCTATGGCCACACTCACAAAAGTCGAGAGCCTGATTGAGGCGTTTGAGGGTTGTCGTGGGGTCTTTCACACGGCTGCATTTGTGGACCCCGCTGGACTATCCGGTTACTCGGTGAGTTATTTTTCCTTTCCATGTGACTTTAAAAAAAAGGGTTTCTTTTGTGAGTGTGAACCACAAATAATGGATATGTCTTTAGTGAGTAGTTCAAATGCATGGATTTTGTTGGTAGCCTAGCTAGCCGATGAATGATTAGATAAAAGAGAAAGTTGATTCAATTCGACCTCGAGTGGTCCCTAGTTGCGTGTCCATGATGATGAAATTTGTAGATGTATGTATGATTTGAGAGAAGACCTTCATGTACCATTTGAAACTAATATTTGGCTGATCACTTTTCCACGGTTTCATAGGCGAAAACCATTGATGACAAGGGAAAGCTTACTATGTATTGTAATACTATGCATTCATCATTAAATGACCAATGTTGATTTTATAATATGGTTGTATCTCGTAAATGCTGCTATAATAGATAGCATCAGAAAGTTCGCTTCACAATTTTTTTCGAAACCTTTTCGTTTGTGGTCATGAAACTGTTATTTATCGCTACATGAATCTTTCGCTCGATTAGAAAAATGTAAACCTTTTGTAGAAAGCTATGGCTGATGTCGAAGTGAACGCGACCAAGAATGTTGTGAAGGCTTGTGGAGTTTCATCTTCTGTTAGGCTCTGTGTGCTAACCTCATCCCTCTTGACATGCATTTGGCGGGACAATTCGAAAAACGAAGAAGTTTCCCTCCAAATCGACCACAAAACCTGGAGTGATGAATCCATTTGCATAAACAAAAAGGTGCAAAAGCTAAAATTTCTACAACACTATTTCTTACAGCCCAGCACTTCCAAGTTTTGAAATTTACTTCTTTTCTTTTTTAATTCCGTTTATTAAGCTTTGGTATGCTTTGGGGAAGCTGAGGGCAGAAAAGTTCGCATGGGATATCGCGCAAGAATGCGGTCTGAAGCTAGCTGCCATTTGTCCCGGGCTTGTCACGGGCTCGAAGTTTTACCAAAGAAACCCAACATCCACAATGGCTTACCTTAAAGGAGTTCACGAGATGTATACATACGGTTTGCTTGCTACAGTCAGTATAAGCAAATTGGCAAAGGCGCATATAGCCGTTTTTGAGGAGATGAAGAAGACAACTTGCGATTGCGGAAGGTACATTTGCTTTGATAAGGTGATTGAACAAAATGACGAGCTCGAGAAGCTGGCTAGTGAGACGGGGATTAGCTCGAGCTCGTTAACTGGGGGTGACTCGTGTGGTGATAGGCCCCGGTTTGAGCTGTCGAATGTAAAACTTTGTCGACTAATGATGAGAACACGAAGGTGTTATAACGAGTGATTATGGTTATTTTGGGTTCTTGTTATGTATTTTGATCATCTGGAGATCTAGAGAGTTTGTGGAGCATTTTAGTACACTATATAGTTACTAGATTATGATGTAGGCTTTTGAATTCCTTAATGAACTAAGTTAATAATACAGTAAATTGAGTTGCATCACTTGAAAACCTTGTAAAGTCATAACATGTACAAACTTGTTTTTTGAGGCTAAGTTCATCCGGGAAAATGGGGAAGAGTGAACGGGTCGTGTGCTATCCTCAGGCCCAATGGCCTTATCTCTGGTCATATTCAGTATGTCCCTAGGCCCAATATCCTTAGTTCCAATCATATTCAGTATATCCTTTGGCCCAATGGTCTAAACTCTGATTATACAATTCAGTATGACATACATTCTAACGCAGTTGGACATTTCTTTACTGTAGAACGTGTGAACTGGTAACAACTCATAAGTACTAATTACTGAATGCACCCAAATTTTACCGTATAGTTCAGCTATCCAAATAAGCTAGGGTTCATTGGATTTTATACCGTTTGGTCAGTATGTGTATGCGTATGATCTAACAGTAAAAAATTCGTTGACTTCGGTGAGTTTGAAAATTTCTCCAAGTAATACCAACTCATGAGTTTAATTTATAAAACAAAGGAGGGTGATTCTACCGTCAGGTACCCTTCGTACATTAAATATATATATGGTTGATATTCAACTTTGAATCAATCTAATGGTGAATAAGGGGGTATATGATGTTAAGTATATGTACGAGAGGTACCTGCCCATAGAAGATCCCAACAAAGAAGAAAGAAGAAAAGGACCCTCATTTGGATTTGTTTTTTTAGTGACGGTAAATAAAGAAAATCACAGTGGTTTACTGTTTTTGATCCCTCGGATTTTGATTGTTGCTGAAGATTATAACAAAATTAAGATGTGACTCAATGTATAAGATAGCATTCTTCATGATTTTATTCATAATACAAATTTTGAAAAGGAATCTAGTTGTTGTGTGGATGTGATGGATAACCATCTATATGTCCATACAAATTTGAAATGAAATCGAGTTACTACTGTGGATGCCTACATGTGCAAATTTTTGACCAACTAGATAATTTTTTTTTTACCCATGCTACATTGCCAAAATGGCTTATGTACTGAATCAACGAAAATAAACATTAACAAGCATTTATTTTTATTGTTATTATTATTATTATTATTATTATTATTATTATTATTATTATTATTATTATTATTAAATTACCAAAATTAACAAATCAAATTTTACCAGCATATGATTCGGTTAATCTGATAGTAAATCAATATAACAAAATAAACTGCTGGCTTAATATTTTGTTTCCATGTCACCAAATATGTAACTATAAATTACCGGACTAACATCATTTATGCGAATTGAAGATCCTTTGAGCAGAACAATATTTGATCTACTGTATCACACCAAGGATTAATTGTCAAGCTGTGTAAACCCTACTCTGAATAAACAAAGGTGTGTAAATTAGGGTTTCGAGAAATCAATGAGAACTAACCAAAAATCATACATACGAACTTTTGGCAGGGAAATGCTACGGTCCCGTTACGGTACCATCTCGTCGAGTGTTTTAAATGGTGGATCATCTTTCTTATCTAACTACATGTGGATCCAACGGCTAAAACACCCAACGGGATGGTACCGTAACGAGACCGTAGCATTTCTTGTTTTGACAATATATATCTTAACTCCCCCCCAGATGTTAACGAGTTTTACGAAAGGTGAAAAAATTAAAACTTCGACCCGATACTTAGTGAAGCAAGATTAATCTTGATATACGCCAAAAACGTTATAAATAAGTATGATCTATGTCAGTTTGTTCTGACATACAATACAAAGGATTAAAGTGTTATATGCAATTAATATACAAAAAGTATACAAAATTTAAAGTGTTACTGTTTATAATGCAATGTTATTATTAGCTTATTGCTAGTAAGAACCAAGTATGATATGATATGACATGACATGCATGTTCATGAAAATTCATGATCCACCAAGACCAAAGAGTAATGAGTGTCCTTTTTTTTTTTTTTAATTTCTTTGTATATATATTATTTTGGGGTAAAGATAAAGTAAGAAAGTAAGAGAACAGTTTGACATATGAAGAGGATGGATAATAAAATTAAATGACATTCCAAATAGAGGAAAAACTTTCACAAGTTTGGTTGTGTGCATGCCTTTTTCTCCATCTTGCTTAGTCCCATCACATTCCTCTTAGAAGCTCTTCTTTCATCTTTTTGGCCAAATTGTAATAGCCCCACACTCCTTCACTCCTGAACCACTTCATATTGGGCACATGTAACAAGTACTTGAATATGACACATTGAATTCTTCATATTATTAATATTTTTACTTTTTTTTTTTTTTTTTTTTTT